ACGGCTCCCGTGGCTGATCGCGAGGTCGGACGACTCCCGTGGCTGATCGCGAGGTCGGACGGCTCCCGTGGCTGATCGCGAGGTCGGACGACTCCCGTGGCTGATTGCGAGGTCGGACGGCTCCCGTGGCTGATCGCGAGGTCGGACGACTCCCGTGGCTGATCGCGAGGTCGGACGACTCCGTGGCTGATTGCGAGGTCGGACGGCTCCCGTGGCTGATCGCGAGGTCGGACGACTCCCGTGGCTGATCGCGAGGTCTGGCGGCTCCCGTGGCTGATCGTGAGGTCTGACGGCTCCCGTGGCTGATAGCGAGGTCCGATGGCTCCCGTTTTCCATGCGCCTTGGTGTCACCCGCACGCCCCTCACTACTGTGCGGATCGACTCTGGGTAGAAGTGGGCTTTACGGGCACGTCAACTTCAGTGGTTATCCATGTCACGACTTTGTCGGGCTGTTTCGCATGCCATGTTTTTATTCAAACACCTCACGCGTATACTCGGTACCTTGGAAACCCCTCGTCCAGCTGTATTCACATTTGTTAGGCTGAAATTGCCCGACCCAGTCCCAATTCTGGCACGCTCTCTCCCGCCATGTTTCGCCACATGCCTGGCCAGCAGGCGCCGCCGTCCGGCGATTCACGATGATCAACATTCCGCACAAAAGTGCGCTATAATTACCGCGTGACGCGCGTCTGTTTGGTAACACAAGATCGGCAGAATTTACACCGCGCAAAAATCGCGTAAATATTTGCGAGCCCCGGCGCAGGTGTAAACCAAGACGAGCCCGGCGCGACCGGTCGACAGGATGACTCCAGGCCGCCGTCGCCTGCGGGCGCGGCCCGCTATTGGCTGCCCACCCCTCCCGCAGCTGGCCGCGGTTCCGAGAACCCCCTGAATTCGGTCAGTGGCTCGCTGACCCAGCAGGGAGCGAGCCGCCGCAGCCAGGTCGTGGTGCATCTGTGAGCGGCGCAGGGAGACGTCGTGCATGAAATGGCTGACCTGAGTGCAGTTTTTCCGCGTCGCTTCAACGGTCGCCGCTCAGCCCCTTCATTGTTTTACTATGTTTTCGCTATCGCGGTGCGTATCGGCTGCGAGCAAAAACGGCTTTTAATGTATCGACAGCGTCGGTCGGACGACGTCGGGCGGCGCGGAGCGCGCCGCAGCCTGGAGGGGATGTGCAGTTACTGGAGTGGGAAGGGACCGTAGGCTTCGTTTTGTGACTACTTGATGGGTCGTCCGGGCGCTGTTCAGCTCAAAGGGACGTTTAGCCCGCAGCTGTGGGGCAAAACTGCACCGGAACGGATACATTCCGATGGTTTACAGCACACCGAGCAGGTTTAGGCCTGTCGGAGTAGCGTATCGTCTTACAAAAACCTGAGAGGCAAATGTCAACACAGGTCGACATTTGGATGCCTCGCCGCTCTGCCTGCTTGAAACTGTACCTGCTTCCCGGCGGTCCACATCACAGCAATCAGGGTCCAGACAGCGTTTCTACCAGCGATAGCTAGATTTCAGTGATGCATAAAATGACTCGTTCGCCGCTGCACGCAAATGCGACATTCAAAACCACATTTGCAGCGACTGTTCTCATCCTTCTTTGTGCACGAGCAAAAGAACAGGAAAAAATGCAGGCAGAGGTCTGACAGCAGGAGCTCATTAATCTCCGTCTTTGACTGTCTTATGACAGCAGTAGGCGTTTACTACGGAATCTGCTGTCCAGACAAATTTGAAAGCTTTCCCGAGTACTTCGAGAGATAAGGTCAAGTACGTACAGAACGCCTGGCGACACACAGCGTTACAGCTGAGCAGCGCGATATTTGCTTGCTTGGGAGGCAGTTCTTAATGCACACTCGACCCGGTCGGAGTACGGCGCCTCTGCTTGGCACAAAGGCCGGAACGTTCCAAGACGTGTAAAAACGAGTCGTTTCTGCCAATATATGGGCTCAGCGCGCGCTGGGACGCCTGGATTGGATCTGCAGTGTCCAGGCGTCATTTATATTATCGATACGCAATCGCAGATGAAAGTACCGCAGAAATGCTGCCCAAAGCGCTATCGGGGCGCAGCCTGCAAGAACAACCAGTAACGTTCTGGATAACAAGATTGCTGCAGGCATCACGGTGCTCTGGATTGTATCACTAGTACTGCTGACATATTGCCGTCGGTTTCTTATCACGAGTGAGGCCGCGAGCCAACGAGTCATACATGACGGGTGAGCAGATTTTAACTTGTGCCACCGGACCCAAGCCGGCCCTCCGCACTCTTCAGAAGCACCTTTTGCACCCCACCCACACGTCGTCGTGCCGTGCGGTTTTCACCAACAAGAAGCACAATGCGTCATGATTAGAAGTCGTAGCCTCAATCATTCATAATACAGGAAAACGTAAAACTACGGGCTTCCCTAAACCAAGCTTGAAACGGTTTGCCAGCAGCGAGAAGGCTGTATGGCACAGGAAGGAGCTCGACCCAGATCTCTGCGAGTCAGAGTCGCGGAGTCAGGGACAACGCAGGTTGGCAGAGGACGGAACGGGCAGCCACATTGACGTGAGGCGCGGGTCGACGCGTGCGGCTGGGCGCGAGCGTTCCGCCGCCCACCATGAGCCCGCCCGTGTGAGGGCGATGTTAGGGGACGGTGTCAGATCTTGGCGGTCAGAGCTGCTACAATCGTCGGACAAACTGTACGGTGCAGGCGAATGAACCGACTTTAAATCCTCAAATTGCTGGGCGATCCCGTCACTGCGCGCCGCTGCGAACTGTTCTCGTTCACGGCGTCCGAACCACCGCGATACCCGGCATCGAACTGTTCTCGTTCACGGTGTCCGAAACACCGCGACCGACCCGAAAGCGCACTAAGTCGTTCGGTTTCAATCGGTCCCTATCGCAGCGCGCTGTGACCCGTCCGAGCGATTTGCCCTCGCAGACTCCGCGGGGGGGGGGGGGAGGGCGGCCAGCACACTGTGACCAGTGCCCACCACATACGCGTGCCGCCTTGAAATATTTCGCGACAGCTGCCGACAGTGCAGCTAATTTCAAATTCATCGATTTTGTCAAGTGAAATGGCCGGGCTGGACACGCCATTGCCCAGGCAATTTTCAGCTGTGACCTGTGATTTAGCGCATTTCCGCATCAATGGACATCGTTGTCTACCAACTGCCATGAATGACAGACATTCTAATGCTGTTATAACACCCATCTACGCCTATATGGAGTTCCAATACCCTCAGACGTCCGGTGATACTCGGTAAGGATTTGACATCGTTTACATGTCATGACCGCATGCATTCACTTCCGTCTCGCTCGTTCCACGCTTCTCAGGGCGCCCTCTGTCATGATACTGCATGATGGCATGTTGCTTCCTTACACCCACATTCGTGTGCGCAAAGATCGATGTATGCCAAAGGTACAGCGCTATTCATGTCATAAATATAATGACATAATTCTGAATGATATGAGGAAAAGACCAGCCACAAGTTCACCACTGACCACACTGTTTTATGAAGACGGGATTTGCACTTCTGCTCGGTCTGTATTGTCCTAGCCATTGATTAAGATATTGTCGCAGTCGGAGAGCGACTTCATGCTGCCGAAGAAGAAGGTCCTCTCCGCGAGTTCAGCTCAAGCTTCGACCCAAGCTTCGAACACCACAAATGTGCAAAATGACACGCGCTTGCACTAACAAACACATGCCTTGTCTTTGTGATAGCACGATGGACTGTGTACTTATGTACTAATTTGGATATTCCCGCTATTCAAACTGCATGTGGCGACACAATCAGGCAAACTTTGTCAGTTGTCATAGCTGCCCCACATACACGTCGGATGATCAGAGGAAAAAGGCCGGTGCAGCGTCCTTTGTTAGTTTTCGGGCAAAGACAGAAAAGATGCTATGGAACACATACTGACAAGGCGGCCAACCACTGAACATTGATAACTGGTCAACTACACTGGAACCATTTTTGTGATTTATATTCCGCGTAAGTAGGCCAATGCGATTGGAACACCGCATGCAGCGTGTACACGACAGCCATTACCATCGCACTGTGGCGATGGTGTTCGCAGAGCAAGTCAGCAATTCGTTATTCACCCAGCCATCTTCAGCTGGACACATATGTTCTATCTGATAGCACGTATGTCCATTTCGCCATGGGTCAAGTTGCGAGCATACGCTTCGCATTGAACATTTGCCCTAGACAGTTGACCTGCCGCGCAACAACAATTTGCATTGCCCGGCTACTGAAATAAAGCTTGTGAGCAAATTTGCATTCTGAGCGATTCCGCACCGACCCCGAAGGCCCCAAGAAATGCGCATCACATTTCCCGAGCATGCTGCCTTTAGTTGTGAAGCACACTCTCTTGCAAGTGTTTCAATGTCCTGCGCGTTCAATAGCCGTTTAGTATTGGACTACAGGCCATCACAGCACACATGCCAGCCCCTGAAATCTGACCCGAGTGGTCACCGGGATAGCGTGTACCCTTGCTGATTGCATCGAGGATGAGTAAGGCCGCACCATCAATTCATCCAACCGAGGCGTGTGTGAATAACGACACCCCCAGACCATGTATCACGCCGCCCGGTTATGGCGACGGTCCTCTCCGCGATGGAATGAATCACGCATGCATCATCGTAATGCACCGCCGGCCAGAGGCAGATAACGGCAGGCCATTACATCATGGACACCAGCAGCATGGGGGAAAGGCACCACTGCGTCCCTCTCTGCTCCCCAACTTAAGACCGGATTAGATGTGGGGCTATCGCCACGGTAAGCCACATCGTCTTTTAATCAAATGGCACTGTAGGCCTACATCGCTGTACATTTGAAGTAGGTATAAAACGGAACATCGTTCAAGCTTTGCAAAGGCATACAAAACGAAAATTTTACCCATTTTTACACATTCCTGAATTCTGACCCGCGTCATGCACCCCATTATTATAACAAGAGTCAGCGGGATGTCTGGCGGTGACAGTCTGAGGTGTGCAGTCCTACAGCGGGACGGCGATGCTCACCAGCGGTCAGTAGCCCAGCAGCTCGCCGCCCGTGACCTGGTCGCTCCTCGTCGTCGATTGGGTCGCAGTCCGGCCGCGCCGCGGAGGTCGTGCCACCACGGCCGCTGGTCTCTAACGACGCCGCGTCGGCGGTCGGGCCCGTCACGATCCGTCCTCACGCCGCGTGTCAGTCATCTCCCTTCCCGCGACCCTCTCACTCCACGCGCGCCGCACGCACTGTGCGTGAGGCCGGCCGGCAGGCGGCCCCGCCTGCGAGCTCCGACGGACGCCATCAGGGGTTCTCAAACCGGCGCCGCCACAGCGAGCCGGGTTGAGGACGAGGTGAGGGTTCCCGCGGTGTGCGATGCAGACGCGAAACGGGACGCCAAACAGGCATCCACAGCGCCGAGCAGACTCGCTATGGGATTCTGCACCTATCGCTGCCGTCCGTTCCTTAATGATCGGTGTCCTGAAGTCCGGGAGCGAAGAAACGTCCAAAAACGGCGATAGGCTCCTGACCAGACCGCGTGCTCTTAACTACATGTTGTTTTCATTTTGACAAGAGGTGAAACTTTGCTAGCCTTATAAGGGACCCTGCTAATCCGACACTTTATCACTGAGTTTGTGGCGATGCATGGTGGGAACTGTTTGGAAAAAAACAAAAACTTTGGCTGAAACACCAGGATAGAAGGCGGTCTGTTTTTGGGAAAGTAACAACAGCATGCATCACGACATAGCTAATGTTGAAATTTCATGAGCGCTCTGACAGCCCCATTCCGTCCTGCCACGCCCTTAAGCTTATGGTACACATAGGCTTGAAAACGTGGCAGGACGGATGGTATGGTACACACGGCATGTGCTTTCCAGGCGCGCATGTTAGTGAGGCGACAATCGATAGCCCGTCGTAACGACAGGCCAACAGTCACCAACAGCATGCAGTCCGACTTTAACAGCGAGGCAAGGTTCACGGGTGGCGTAATAATGGCGTTGAAAAACCTTTTGCATTCATGTTTTATTCGATGAGTTTCGGGAATTTCCTTTAAATAAATTACGTTCGCGTCATGACCGTGGACAAAATAAGAGTTATATTGGAAACGAAGGGCGGGGTCGCTGCACCATTCTCGTGCTGAGCAGAGCACCTAGAAAGTCGCAGGTAGGTTCAGATCAGCGGACAATGGGAGGCTCTTCAAGCTCGCAACAGCTGTCGTCTTGCGAGGAATGAGGAATGAATTAGGCCATTTCTACTTAAGTGCAAAATTGTCCGTCCAGACAAGAGAAAGCGCTTAACCTACCACCTTGAAGAACTTGCCAGTTGTATGTTTATCACTGAAAACCGATCAAACGCGGCGTTTGCATTGCACCCCTGCGACGACGCCGGTCGTCCGTCGGGGCCTCACCCACGAGTTCGAGAACCCCTGGTACGCGGGACAACACCCGCCATAAACGGCAAGCGGTGCCGCCGAATGGCGCGGAAGCGACGGAAAGAGTTGAGTCACGCCGACAAGGTGGGGGGGGGGGGGGGGCATCTCCCTTGGGCACCGTGTCCGTCGATAGAGCCGGCTCGCGGCGGAGGTCGGCGGGGCCTCGGGGAGCGTCGGGGCCAACTGGCCGGCCGCTCTACGGCTGATCCGCGCTGCTCTGGACCGCGAGCAGGCCGCTCTGGGGTCGGGAGCGAGTCGCTCCGGGTTGGGTCCGGGGTTGCGGAGGACGCGTGCCGGGCGGCGGCCGTAATCGAGGCGCCCCCCGGCGGGAGATGGATGCCGCTGTCGTGCGGCGCTGTGTCGATTTTGACAGCTAAAAATGGGCCCCGGCCGGCCCCGGCGAGGACGTGGTGCTGACGAGCCCGGCTCCGACGGAGAGCTACCAGCGCTGACGAGCACCTGCAGACGGCGGCAGCGGTGGCGGCCGCCGTGGTGGCGGTGGTAAGCTTTGGCGGACAGCTCGTCGAGATGGGCTTGAGATGGGCAAGCATTTAGCTACCTGAATAAGCGGAAGTGAGCTCACGAACACATGAAGATCGGCTTTGGGAATAGGAAAATACCACATTGTTTTGCCATATCCGCTTGCAAAGCCTCTTCTGGGAGCTTGGGACGCGATTTGGCGAAAGCTTGCTGGCGATAAGCTGGTTATGGGACGCGTGCCATCTGAGAGATGGCGAGCTCCGTTTAAACGTTGAGACAAATGTCAGGGACATCTCCCAGATTCCTAAGCGGTTCCCTGATTCCCTGATTCCACTCTGATTACAGAGCGGCTAGAGCCGTGGTTTAAGGAGGATTAGCATCATTCACCACACCTCTCAGCTCCAGGTCCGTCATGCCTACCCCCATCAACGGCACAGGGATGTGGCCAGTAGCTGCATCACATCGGTATCGGTTTGAAATACTCTGACTTGTCCTTGGAGGTTAAAGCTGAATCGGGCTTCGCGCCGCGTCGAGCTTTGTCTCGTTTGGCAACAATGAGGTAAGGGCCGATGGGAAGGACCCCAGTGACGTCAGAGCACGCATCAGTGTAGTTTCTGTTAAGGTTGATGTTTACGATCTCATCAGAGTCCGCAGATAACTTGTCTATTTCTTGTCGAATGCTGGAACGATTCGCTGTCGAAAACATTTCGGGATATGTCGTTGACAGTTCTTAAGATCAAGACGTTTGATTGAAATGGAACAGAAAATATTCAAAATATATTAGCCAAAGCCTTATGGATCACTGAATTCCGACGATTCAAAGCATTCAACATCATCACCCGACTGGTTGCAAAATATGAATAATTACCTGAGGACACCGGAGAGCATGACTTATTCTCTCTTCTTAGCCATTCGCAGAAATGGCGACATAGAGTGTTGCATCACTTGAGATGCTGCCACCTGCAACCACTGCGATGATCGTGGCTGCTGAGATTTCCCTTGAAGTTTTCGACCACGTCCGGGCACTGAAAGACAGCGAGCAGCAGAGAAGTAAAAACTGCCCCATTTCAGGGGAAGGCGGGGGTGAGGCGCGTCAGGGAGGGACGGCGACGGATGACAAACGACCTGGGCTGCACGGCGTCGGCCACAGCCTCCCGCAGAGAGCACAGGTCAGCGCGCTCCTCGTGCATCTCGACTCCACGGACAAAAACCCCGCCGCCCGGTGTCGAACCCAGGCCGAAAAAGGCGGGCGTTTTTGTTGCCAGATGGGCCGGCGGTCGCACGATCTGGCAACACCACGCCCGGCGGCCAGGATGAGTCGGCCGGCTTCTTATAGCTCGGTTGACGAGCTGTCTGCTTGGTCGGCGTGTTACCCGCTTGGTCGGTGTGTTGCCCGCTTGGTTGGCGTGTTGCCTGCTTGGTCGGCGTATTGTCTGCCTGACATATTGTCTGCTTGGTCGGTGTATTGCGTATTCGGTCGGCATGTCACCCGCTCGGTCGCAGCGGGGGAGCAATTCACCCGCGACAACGGCGCAGTCGCCTCGCTGTCCGCCAAATCGGCCTGTTCTCCGCAGGGTCAGCCTCTTATCCCGGTCTCCACAGGGAGAGGCCAGCCGACCCCGCCCCACCCAGCAGCAGCAGCTGTTGGGTCGGACGGCCTCGGCGGCGTTTATGACATCAGCTTGATCTGATTACCCGCGCTTACAAGTGGCGCCGAGCTCGACCACTCAAGGCTTTGTTTTTGTGTGGTGATGGTATCTAACGCGCGCCCGTGCATAGCTAAAACAGCAGCATTGTTGCAACCACCCGTAACAATCGCCTGGAAAATACTTTAAGATACTGAGCTTCTGTAGCTTTAAAGGCAGCAATCACTTTGTAAAGTTGAATACAAACCACTGCATATAAGTCGAATCGCAATTGTTTGTTTACAAAGGGACGGACACTAGTTGAAATGTCATATTCCACTGATAATTAACCAGTGCTTCAGCAAGGATCCCCAGGGCAAATAAAGCCCACTGACATGGCGGACGTTACATCTCCCCACGAGGCGGCGGTGTAAATAAGGCAAATAATAACCTCGGTACCAGTCACCAATGTGTTACCGCCATTGAAAGGGACTGGAACTACGCACAGGCTGGCAACCGCTTCCATACATTCTTCTGATCACATAGGTCATAACATAAGCGGCAGCCAGTTCTCTGTGCTGTTACGAAATGAGGACATAAGGCAATCAATGTTCCATTGCCTTTCACATTCACGATGGCTCCTGAAAAAACCCGCATGCGTGTGGAAATCAATCAGAGACTAATTTTGTCTTTCAAGCGACTTACAAGCACGTTCATATGAATGGATGCCTCGTCGTCCAATTGAATCAACTCAATCCCATTCATGAGCTCTAAGTGAGTTGTGGCTCGATAAGGCCAAGGGCCAGCCACGTCATACACTTCTGGGCAACCACAGACGGACGACATGCCTGACAAGCTCTGCCCTTGAATGAGCCGATTTCTAATGTTGCCCGTAGACAAAAAATAGTCTTCTTAAATATTACTGACAAAGGCTGTTCTGAATGATAAACGTTTTTTGACATTTTGACAAACCTAAAGACGATACAGAAAAGATTCAGAAAAGTAACGCCAAAACCCATAGGGCGCAAGATAGTTTAACTTTGCATGTTCTTGATACGTTGGTGTCAAGGTTTTAGATAGCTACCGTCGCAAATCAGATTACACACTGATGCATATCTCGCTTCTCGTCGCATGAAAGTCTGCAATGTCATCTCACAGGTATCCTGTTGATAATGCAACTTGTTAAACAGTTCACATGGAATGCGCCGGCGTAGGAATGGGAACGCCCTGGGTTCGAGCCTCGGCACGCCCCACAGATTGTTAGATTGATAGATTGTTCCTCGGTTGTTCGCATGAACTACCCAAACGCTGGCATTTTGACTTACAGTATGTGAACATCAGAAATGCGCGCTGTGCCTTTCAGGTCGGGTTATTTACAATGACTTGACGTCGCTTTGTCACACCTCTGCGGGCTCTAGCACGAGCGTCAGATGTGTCATTTTCTTAAGTCGATTGGGGAGGTCAGCTGCAAGCGTTGACCTAAACTACCCCCAAAACCATATTTACCCCGGAATTCGGCCACTTGAACATGCGTCCTAGATGTAAAACGTTTTTACGTTTAGATGGACAACGTTTTTAGTATTGCATAACTGCAATTTGTTTCCTGTGAGGAAAGGATTTCCCATCTTGAGTCAATGTGAACAACCATTTTGTGAAAAGCCT